TGCCTCCACCCTTCCCCCCCTCTTTATCTGCAGCTCCCCCTACCCTCACATCCAGGCCTGAAGAAGGGTAATACCTGAAAAGTTGACTGCTCCTTTCCTCCAGATGCTGCCTGGCCTGCTGTGTTCTTCCAGCCTCCTGTTTGTCTACCTTACAGGATTATAGTCCTTCAACTCAATGTAATTCATCAAGATAGATTTTTAATTAAATTCCCTTCCTTTCTCACCACTTTCTGCTTTCTTTAAGCCCTTTCTGACTGTAGCCGAGAAAACAGATAAGTCGTTGTGGCCAAATAAACCACAGTGTCCTTCTGCCTCAAACACTTGGGGATGGTCAAATAAAAATGCGATGGTGTTCTCATGCTGTTATCTGTATGTGGTGGAGCTAAGCTTTGCTGCTTTGGTCCCCAACTCTGTTAAATTAACTAAGCTGAGACATGGCAGCTGTGATAAATTTGTTTGCAACACCTCGTGGATGCCCAGATGGGTGTCAAACTGTCCAGGTATGTCACTGCTCCATCCCTGTAGGAAGGTGTACATGGAGTCCCAGCTGGAATGTCACTCACTCTTGCCTCTCCAGACAAATACCATCAAAGGTGGCAAAAAAATAGTCATTCCAGTGAAAGTTTGCATTCCAGAAAGCAGTTATAGCCCTGGCAATCCTTCCCCTAACCAAAGGGAGTGCAGATATTTGCAAATTAAACAAAAATTGTCCAGGTCCAGATTAAGTGCAGGTCGATATTAATTTAATCAACATATTTTTGAATGTTAATTGAAACATTGCTGTAGTTAAAATGATCTTTATTGAGGATATTTTGGGGTAATGCCCCAGTCCTACACTTTTATCGAGGTGTAGTAATCTGAGACCTTAAACTAGGTGTGACATTGATTGTGCAAACGATGATTCACACTCCGAGTGTAGGATCCATGAATCTGCTGTTATTTTTTAAAAATACTATTTAGCTTTCCAACCTGTAACTTCCTGCTTTCACTTCTATATGATAGAATACCATGAGCAAAGATAAACAGATTGAATGTTTTTATTTTCCTTGAGACATCCCAGCAAACTTATTAAACAAGTTATTTTGTTCTTTTCCTCCAATAGCAAATGGTCCTCTGCAGTACATCTCTGCCAACAGGAATAGTATTCCATTCCAGGAAAGCACTCTGCCTCCCCCACCCTACAGTCTCTATGCTATTGAAACCCCTCCACCCTATGACTTGGCCCTAAAGATGGCTAAACCTATCAAGGTTCACGACCCAGAGATCCTGGGACAGAATTTGCAAAGGACTGAAGATCCCAACCCAGCAGAGGAAACGTCCACAGCCACACCCACACCATCGGTGTCTTCATAACAATGAATGCCTTTTTATTATTTGACTCAATTCGTGCAGATGGTTTTTTTTTTATTACCTACACATTTTGGAGCCATCTGTGATCAACACAGCAAATGTCTTCCTCCGATTCCAAAGGGAACTGTTTATAGTGGATATGTCTTGCTTTAGCAAGTGAAACATTTTCAGCGGATTGCTGCAGAACAAACTCCATTACTGTGTAATGACGTTAGTCTAATGTAATTTATCAGTAAGGCATATCACCAACTACAATGAATAATCAACACTAATAGTATTACAGCATGTTGAATGTTATAAAGTTCGGAAACTGTGACATTTACAAAAGAGATTTTGATGACTGTGTGTAGTCACATTCCAATACAAGCTTTGCTCCAGGTGAAAAAAGTTTTGAAGAATCTTGTTTCGACCATCATGTTGCACAATTTTAGTTTTCTAAAGACAAAGGCAGTGAATCATTCTTTCTTTAGTTCAGAAAACCTTTAGCATTCAATGTTAAATTTAATTGGGAACAATAAATAATTTTTTGTACTGTTTAATTGTCTATTGTGGTGCCTAATACTCATATTTGGATTACAGAGCACAATGGGTGGTGCGGTGGCTCAGTGGTTAGCACTGCTGCCTCACAGCACTAGGGACCCGGGTTTGATTCCCCCCTTGGGCGACTGTCTGTGTGGAGTTTGCACATTATCCCCATATCTGCATGGGTTTCCTCTGGGTGCTCTGGTTTCCTCCCACAGTCCAAAGATGTGCAGACTAGGTGGATTGGCCATGCTAAATTGCCTATAGTGTTCAGGGATGCATAGATTAGGTGGGTTATAGGGGAATGGTCCTGGTGGGATGCTCTGAGGGTTGGTGTGGATTTGTTGGGCTGAAGGTCCTGTCCCCACATTGTTGGGATTCTAATTCATCAATTAATTAGTTGTTGCAAAGCCAGCCAACCCATGAATGAGTTAAATTTGCATTGTGTAGCTTGTTTAATTGAGCTAAATTGTTTGCTATTCTAACAAAGCTGCTGATAATCAAATATTAGTAAAATAATTTGGAATACAATTAACACTTCGTTTTCGAGTCCGAAACTACCTAGAACAGGGAATAGATCACCTATTTATCAACAATCTGATAAGTGTGAAATCTTGTTTACATATTGTGGAAATGTATTAAAATCAAATTTGTTATTTGCATATTTTGATGTATTTCTGTATAGTTTTGTTATGAAAATTTCTATAGATTTTAATGTTTTTTAAATGAATAAATATGTACAAAGATGCTTTTAATTTTGTGGTCTTGGACAGGCAAGAAAAGATAACTATCAGAGTGACACAGTGATGCTAACTTATTTGAAGCATTCAAAGCAAATTGATAATTTTCTTAAAGAATGGTGGATGTCTGAAATCAGAAACAAAAACAAAGTGCTGGAGAAACTCAGCAGGTCTGGCATCATCTGTGGAGAGAAAGCAGAGTTAATATTTTCCTGTTATTCATTCATAGGACATGGGTGTTGCTGGCTGAGCCAGCATTAATTGCCCGTCCCTAGTTGTTCTTGAGAAGTTGGTGGTAAGCTGGTGACTTGAACTGCTGCAGTCATGTGCTGTAGGTAGACCCACAATGCCCTTAGCGAACAAATTCCGTGATTTTGACCGAGAGACAGTAAAGGAACTGCGATACATTTCCTAGTCAGGATGATGAGTGGCTTGAAGGGGCACTTGCAAGTGGTGGTGTTCCCATGTACCTGCTGCCTTTGCCCATCTAGATGGAAGTGGTTGTGGGTTTGAAAGGCGCTGTCTGAGGAGCTTGGGTGAATGTCTGCAATGCATCTTGGAGATAGTAGCAACAGTGTGTCCTGAGCATTGGTGTTGGAGGGAGTGGATGTTTTTGGATGTAGTGCCAATCAAGCGGGCTGCTTTGTCCTGAATGGTGTCAAGCTTCTTGAGCGTTGTTGGACCTGCACTCATCCAGGCAAGTGGGGAGTATTCCATCACACTCCTGAAGAAGGATAATACCCAAAATGTTTACTGCTCCTTTCCTCCAGATGCTACCTGGCTTACCATGTTCTTCCAGCCTCCTGTATGTACATGCCTGACTTGTGCCTTGTAGATGGTGCATGGGTTTTGGAGAGTCAGGAGGTGAGTTACTCACTGCAGTATTCCCAACATCTGGCCTGGTCTGGTAGGCATTGTGCTTATGTGGCAAGTCCAGTCCTGCTGAATGGTAAATCTCTGGATGTTGAGAGTGGATAGTGATAGTAACACCAATGAATGTCAAGAGGTGGTGGTTAAATTGTCTCTTATTGGAGATGGTCACTGCCTGGCATTTGTGTGGCATGAATGTTACTTGCCAATTGTCAGCCCAAGCCTGGATATTGTCCAAATCTTGTTGCATTTGAACATGACTGTGTCAGTATCTGAGGAGTTGCAAATGGTGCTGAACATTGTGCAATCATTGGCAAACATTCTCACTTCAGACCTTATTCTGGAGGAAGGTCATTGTTGAAGCAACTGAAGATGGTTTGGCCGAGGACACTACCCTGAGGAACTCCTGCAGAGATGTCCTGTAACTGAGATAACTGACATCTAACAACCACAACCATCTTTCTATGTTCCAGGTTCAACTCCAATCAGCAGAGTTTGCCCCCTGATACCCATTGATTCCTGTTTTGTTAGGGCTCTGTGATGCCATACTTAGTCAAATGAGGCCTTGATGGCAAGGGCTGTCAGTCTCAGCTCATTATCTTCAGTAGGTTCCAGTTCCAAATGATCATTGGACTCAACATTGACTCTACTTTCTCTCCACAGATGCTGCCAGATCTACTGAGTTACTCCAGCAGTTTTTGTTTTGATGTTGATAATTACCTTGATTGATTCTGCAATACCACTATTATCAAATCCTTGCCTTACAAGTTTGAGAAAGAAACCTCTGTTTAAGATAGTTTTTCACAAGAACCAGTTGATTGTTGCTACCTTGATTATGAGACAGGGAATGTGAATGCAGCTATGGAGAGATGTCCCAGCTCAAATCAGTTCATTCATATGTGTACTTTCAGCAAACAGTAATGGAAGCCCCAATGGCTATCCTATTCCTTCCTCCATCAGTCCAGCCCCAAGCACAGACAGTGGCTATGACCCTCCCCTGGCCCATGCTGAGAGAATGGAGGCCCAGTGAGGAGATTCTCCCTTCCTCATGCATAAAGGGGAAACCAGGGAATTAACACAACTGGTGAAAGAATGAATGTCCTCGCCAGCGTCCTGCTCAGCATTTTTATCCCAACCACCACCATTTAAAAAATGCGCATTGTCACATTACACTGTGGGAGCTTGCTGTACTAAAGTTTGATACATTACTGGAATGACACCTCGGAGCATAACAAAAGGTGCAATGTAAAAGTATGGATTATTTTTGTTCCAGACCATGTATGGCACTTTAGATGCTGCATTTACCCAGATGAGGAGCTGATATGATTCAGTTGCTGAGCAACAGAGTCATTACCATTCCCAATCCCAATCTAGGATGTGTTCCTACTGCAGTATTTTTTGACTCAACCTCTTCAGAGATATTCTGACACACCTATGGAGCAGGTGAGGTTTGAACCCAAGGCTCCTAGATCAGGAGTAGGGATGCTAACACTGCACCACAAGAGGGCCCCTGTGTTTGTGCCTACATTTGTCATAATTGGGCACAAAGTTAACATAATCAGCTAAAAAGGTTGTATAATTTTTGGCAGGAAGTGAGTTGCTGGTACGTGTTTGTACAATACAATACAATCCAGCCCAATCCCCTTAATGCCAATTATTTATCAATCTCTCTATCTTCCCATAAAATTGGTCCTGCCCAGATTATATAAATCAGCCACATTGGCACTCACTTCAAACCAAGATCAGATTTTCAACTACAGCAGGAAATAATTATTTATCTGGTATTTTATTGTAATGTCAATAAGACTTGTTCTGTATTTCTTTGACGGAGCCATTATAGATCACATTAGAAACTGAAAAGCTTCCTTTGCTTGGATCAAATAACATGTTGGTAGAATCCCTACAGTGTAGAAAGAGGCCATTGAGTCTGTATTGGCCTTCTGAAGAGCATCCCATCCAGACCCACACCCCAACCCATCTCCATAACTGCACATGGGGTTTTTAACCACAGCCAATCCACCTAACTGGCACATTTTTTGACTGTGGGGAGAAAACCATGCAGACACGGCGAGAATGTGCAAACTCCACACAAACAGTCAGCTAAGGCTGGAATTGAACCCGGATCCTGGGCACCGTGAGGCAGCATTGCTAATTGCGTGCCAGTATGTCATCCTTAATCATGTTGTGTATGAGAGCAACTTTTAATTTTCCTGCTTAAGGAATATATTGTGAATGTCCTTGAACTACTGATTAATGGCCATTTGAACATTTGGATGTATTCTAATAAGATCAGTAGTCAATTTGAGCAAAATGTTGACTATTTGTAATGTTGAGTCTTCAGATTGTGTGAGTGCAGAAATGTCCAGCTCTTAGTGCTACACATGCTCACGTTGCATCTAGCTGCTCCCAGATGATGGTGGAAGACCATAAGACCATAAGGTATGGGAGCAGAATTAGGCCCTTTCTGCCCATTTATTCTGCTCCACCATTCAATCATGGCTGGTACATTTCTCAACCTCATTCTCCTGCCTTCTCCCGTAACCCTTGAAACCCTTGCTCATCAAGAGCCAATCCATACTTACTCCAGTGTTAATGGTACTCAGCACACGATAGTCTAGGAAGACCTTAGGGGTTGGAATATGGGAGTCCTTATTCTGTTTTCCTGATTTAACATACTGTGATCCCTTGTCTCTTGGGGTCAGGAGTGAGAAACGGAGCTATAAATGGCTCTGTTTTAAAATCCTGGCCCATTCCAGAAGAACTGTGTAACTTTTAGTTGTAAGCTTTCTCTGAACTGACCGTTCTGTTTGAAAGTCACTCAGCCATTCTGGTAAGCTCTGGGAAAGGTGTTCTAACCTATGGTGTAATGTTCAAATATTATGAACGGTGCATGTTCTCTGTACTGAATCCAAGCTCTGAAACACGTCCAGGCAGCATTTTGAAATGCATTTCACATCAGGTGTTTAACTGATGGCCTACCGATGTGGTCAATAATGAGGGATAGTTGGAGGCCAGTGCACATCAGCAGAATCCGCTTCACATTCTCAACATCAGCAGAAGAGATCCTTATCAACGTGCTTCACTTCAGTCAGTTATTCTTTTAAACTCAGTCATTACACTGCCAAAGTCTTTTGATTTCAGCAGCTTAATTTGAAGTTAATTTATTTCAGTGTACTAAATTGGCCTTTGGTAAGATGAAAAAAAAGCGTCTTGGTAGTACAGATTTTGAGTATTACTGATAAAAGGGACACAGTACATTGAAGCTTCTCAAGGATTGGGACATTCACAAGAATATCAATGTAAAGGGGAACATTTTATGCTGTGTTTACCTTACTCTTTATAAGTGCTTCACTTTCTGTGAACAGCTTTGTGAATCTGAAAAATGCAATGTAAATGTATAAACAGTCTGTGGTCCAAAAGAAGTAAAATGTCAACTAAGGCACCAAAAATGAAACAGCAGGACATCATACCGCATCGGTAGGTATATTATATCAATGTATTAAAGTGAAAGATCACATGGGACAGGTCAAACGCAATGAGTTCAAAACTGTTTTG